AAATGGAGGATAATTCCCTGCTGAGGTTGCGCCGCTGCGCTATGCGGCCAGAGGAGAATGAGGCCCATGGGGGAATCACGTCTATTGTGTTGCGAAATGGCCTCTTGATGAAATGGGATAGCAACGCAGGTCGATATCAGATTATCGGACCCTCCGCCCTGCGGGGTAGGGTTGTATGGGCTATCCACAAGCGCCTGTTGCACTTAGGGGTTCACAAAACACTTGCCATGCTCCAGCTGGGCTGCTTTTGGCTGGGCATGGCAAAGGATGTAACTGATTTGCTGCAGGGCTGTGTGCAGTGTGCTCAACGGAAACCGCCAGCTAAGCCGTCCTGTCCACCCTTGCAGTCCATCCAGGTGTCCCGCATTAATGAGCTCTTCACTTTGGACATCCTTGGTCCCTTTACCGCCACTCCCCGGGGCAATAAGTACTTACTGGTTGGGGTGGAATATTTTTTGGCCTGTGGCTTGGCCACTCCCCAACCAGTCGGCGGCAGCCATCACCCACTCCTTTCTATACGGCTACGTCCTGGTCAAGGGTGCCCCGGACCGTCTATTGACCAAGGAAAACATTTTTCTGCCACCTTGCTACGGGAAGTATGCGACCTGTTGGGTACGAAGAAAATTCGTAAGTTGCCCTACCATCCCCAGACAGACGGCATGATGGAACGTCTGCACAGGGCACTGACCTCCATGCTGTGCTATAAAGTTAGCGAGTCACAACTTGATTGGGATTTACAAATTCCCGGAGTCCTAGCTACATATTGGATGGCCCCTCACGTGGCAACCGGCTATTCGACGTTCTTTTTAATGTATGGCAGGGATGTCGACCCCCCCCCCCCCCCCCTCCCGTTGACGTGCAGCTCCGGGTCACATCTAACAAATTTCAGATTTTAGACCACATGCGCTTCAGTATTCAGAAATTGACGGAAGCGCAGGAGGCAGCGAGGGAAAATTCTAACTCGTGCCAAATAACCAATGAGGGGCTGCGGGGCCTCCACGCACCCGGACACGTGTGGGTTGCGGGCAACAGGGCTTAGCTCCACTGCCCCCAGGTACCATTGGCAACATCGCCCAAATTTCTGAAACCTTGGAGGGGTCCGGTCGACGTCGTGCGGGTATTTCGACCCCAGTGCATTATGGTTCGGTGGGGCCGGAGGTGCTGGTATGTTCATCCGTCGTGCCTCAAATTCTTCATTGTGCCGCGCAGTTCCACTCCATCTCCACGACATGGGGGCTGTGTGTGTGATGTGCCCGACGAGCCGGGTTGCGAGCCTGCAGGGCTTAATCATCAGCAGAGTGCTGTCACTGAATCCCCAGGTACACTGCAAGTGACACCCCCGCAGTCGTCCTCGCCGGCTGCTCCTCCGACCCCGGACGTCGAAGAGTTGTCCGCCCAGTCGGATGTTCCCCTTGTGGGACCTACCCCTGCTGGACTATTGCCATCTCCCCCTGCCATCTCCGGGGGCCCAGCCACAAGAACTCATTAAAAAACTTTCCGGTTTTCATGACCCCCCCCCCACACACATACATGTAACCCACACTGTCAATTCACTTCGTCTCAATCGTTAGTTGCTATTTCTTTACCATGAATTGTGGGGGGCATGTGTGTTTGCGCGTGTGGTGTTATTGAATTGCCCTGCTCTGGTTGTGTTTTCATTGGTCGGGTGTACATTTGTATATAGTATAATCTTTGTATAGGTGGGCTGGGGTATTTATTCAATAGGTGCTTTGTTATTTGTTGTTGAGGCACACATGTTTTTTTGTTACCCACATGTTCACTCGAAGGGGAGTTGGCAGCCGGGACGGCTGGATGCTACGAGGGGGGGAGTGATGTAGTGGCATTACGGGGAGATGCCACTGCTCCCTGAGTGCAATGCCAGCCCCCAGTCAACAGGGTGCGGAAGAGTGCCTGGAGCAGGCCGGGCCGTGGCACTCCGGTTGAACTCAAGGGGGCTTGTAGCCAGAGATGCGGACCCCAGGCCCCCGAGAGGGGGATTTGGGGATGACATACGGCCAACCCAGGACCTTCTTGAAGGATCTAGAAGGTGGGCATGGCCAGGGGCGGAGAGACCCAGGACTGTACATAAAAGCCAGACCCCTGAACAGGTCCGGCTGTTATTGAACATTTGAAGACCTGGAGCTGCCAACTCAAGACCCGAAGACTTGCCCTGAGAAGAGCCCGAGGAATGGACCCAAACCCCTGGCTAGGGTCGGGCTGAGTAACCGGTGTCAGGGTGCGATAGCCCAAAGGGCAGAACCCGGACCCCTGGCAAGGGTCGGGCTGAAGCTTAACCAGTGTAGGGTGAAGCTTAACCAGTGTGAGGGCATGATAGTCTGGAGGAGATACCTGCGTAGTGTATCGGGTGGAAGGGGCCGTTACCCCTTTGTGTTAGGGTCTGTTAAGGTTATAAATAAACGTGTTGCCTCCAGTATGTCTCACTCTCTTTGATTACCCACTACACGTGTAGTGTTATCATTTGCAGACACACTATGTGGAGGCAACAACTTTTATTAACACAATGCTACACTATTACACACGGGACTAAATCGCTTATCTCACTCGGACGGATGCGTACACCTTTCCTCTCCGCACCTATATATCTGGTCAGAGCAGCCACTTACTGTTGACCCACTTCGTAAGAGATAACTACCTCTGGTCAGAGCAGCCCTCGTGCTGTTGACCCACGATGTCAGAGAGCGCGGGCCCAGGCGACGAGCAGGAATCTTCCGACCACCGAACAGCCTCGAACCTCGCTCGAGGCTTGCCTTATCTCTGCTATCCCCAGCTACCTCGGCCGCCCCTCCCCTCGGCCCATCCGGCAAATTCCAGTTCCCTTGTGCCTGTTTGCCCATCCTGTCACGTGCTTAACCCGAGCCAGGTGACTTGTCCTCACGTGCCACCTATACCTCACCCCGGCCCGTGACGTGCATGGTACTGTACCCTGCTAGTTATCTCCACAACACGCACACAGCGCAAAGCGCCGTAGTGATCCGAATAACGTCACTACACATGTATATATTTGTCCACTCTTCCGGTATTGTCCCTTTTTTCATACTTGCTTGCATAGCTCATGGATTTCTTTATCATCTCTCCGCTTATGCCATCCAATTCAGGGCTTTTGTTTTTCTTCATATGTTTTATTGCTTTTTCTACTTCTTCGTACAAGATCTTATCATTTTCATCACTCCTCAGTAGTAGAGATATCCTTTATAGTTCATCCAGCAGCTCTTCTCTTGATTCGTATCCCTATACAAATGGCTGCAATACTCAGTCAAGATCTTGCCATCCTTGCCTTTTATTGCTGTTTGCCTTGGTTGCCGCTTCCGATTTGTGCTCTTCACTAGTTTGTACACCTCCCTGATCTTGTATTCTACAGCGTAGTATTTAATGTCACAACATTCTTGTACAGCCAATCCTGCTTATCCTTTTTTGCCGATGTCCTTACCTCATTGCATATCTTTTTGTACTTAGTCGCCATGTCATCCAATTCCTTCATCTTTAGCCTTCTTTTTTTCTTTTACTGTGCTTGTTCCAAGGTTTTCTCACTTAACCAATTTATTTTGGGTTTTACTACGAATGGTATTGTTGCTTCTACTGCTTGCTCCAATATGTCCTTCAGTGCTAATGCCTCGCTGTCTATTTTTGCCCCCATAATGCTACGCAACATTTCCTCTTCATCTTTCCTCCTTATCTCCTCATTCTTGAGTGCCTCTATGTTCCTCTTATTCTCATATTGCGTTCTGGATATGTTTTAGTTTTACTAGTAGGTTGCATAGTACCAAGCTGTGGTTCAATGCTCCTTGGAATGTTCTGCATAGTTGAACGAATGTTTTCCAGCATTTTTTTTATTATTAACAGATCTATCATATTCGTGTTCCATCCATATTCTACAGTTTTTTTGTTTGAACTTAGTATTACATATTAGCATGTCATGTTTTGAAGCAAATTCTAGCGGTTTCTCACCTCTTGCATTTCTTTCTCCATATCCATACCTTTTTTTGCATTCGAGTCTCCCATCATAATCTTATCTTAGTATGTTAGTATATTTCCTAGGCAGTTCCTTTAATGTTTTTTCCAGCATTTCATATAACTTTCCAATATATTCTATGCTATCTGATGTTGGAGCATATATTTTGGCAAAAGACATATTTAGGGGTTGTCCATTAAATCTCACTAAAATGCTTTGGCTTTTGTGCTCAACAAGAACCCTACTCCTCTGGTGTGTACTTTTTCTTCCCCTGACCAGATCACTTCACCTACATTTATCTCCCCATTCATGTTCATCGCATTTCTGCCAGTCCGAGGATGTCGTACCTGTATCTTTCCATTTCCTTCATTAGCAACTCTAACTGTCCTGTTGCCCATAGTATTCTCATATTTCATGTCCCTACTGTGAACTCCTTACTCGCCATTCTCTGCTACATCGTTGTTTCATAATTTGGCTACTTTGTTTCCTGAAGTTGTCTTAGCTGCTGTTGCACTTTATTTCCGGAAACTAATTTTTTGACCCAATCCCAGTCACTCAATTGGGGTCATGTGCATTGAATTCCTTACGTCTTTTTTTTCTTTACGGCCAAAGTATCAGCACCTGTTCGCCCGACCCTTCTTTTTATCCAGGCTTGGGACTGGCTCAGATATCCAGTGGATTGTAGACCCCCAAAGCAGAGTTAAAGATATCATATTGACAGCTAAGAAAAAAAAGTGGGCTTCGCTAAGGCACATCATTAAGAAGGGATGTTGCCGATAGTTGAGACCAATGACAGTGGCAGCCAAAGGAGGAACCATGCCTAAAAGCACATCCAGTGTGGAGATTAAGTGATAAACTCAGCTCACATGTACGATATAGATGGACTGCTGCATCGTGGGATTGTAAGGGATGATGATGGCCTGGGGATGCCTTCATTCAAAAGAGGATTGATTGTGGCTGATGATTGACGATGAGGTCAGTGGCGAGGCTGTCCAGTCGACGTGTGGTTTAACATTTGTAATTTTTGCAGAGCCGGTCACTGTTCTACAATGTCTATGAAACCATCGAAAGCTCTCTGACAGTGGTGAACAACATGGAGGTGCCCGGAGGCAAGCCGGCGCTCTTCGACACGCCCGATATTTCTTTCGTGGCCATTGTTTTGTCCGCAAAGAAAAACGGGAGCATCGACTTCCCCATCACCAGCTATGCCAATGCCAGCATCGTCCCGAACCTAACTTCCTCCAGAGTGGTTCCCAAGGCCCTGCCGCTGCAGGTAAAGGTGGCATCATGCCTGAACAATAAGTTGCATGCAACTCTGCTGATTTTATCACTTTATCTCTGTTCATGCAATTTAATCGTTTATACGTGCACGTCTCTGCAACCGTTTTCGAGTGGTTATGAAACTGGTTGCTTACTGCCTTTTGCAGGATAAACACCTGTTTTTGCATGGTAGTTACCCATCCAACCATCACCCTTGTGGTTAAACTACATGCCAACGTTGGCCCAACGTTGTACGCTAACTAGAAATCCTGCTGGGCTTCTGGGCAGTGATGGTGCACCCCAGTAATCGGGCCCTGGGGGCAGTGAGGGTTGGTGAATCACGCACCTAAATGTTGTGAAACTTCCTTCCCGTGGGCATCGAGGAGGTGCCATACCCTGGCTTGACAGAAGACTGTACAGCAAGTGGACTAATCTCAATTTGTTTTCTTACAAGAGGATAGAGTGTTGCCCCCTCATGCGAGCGAGTTTTGTCCGAGTGCTCTGGATTCCTTCAACTTGTATAAACACTCATTAATTGGCTGAAACTATCTTAAATTAAAACCGGTACGCTTGAGAGATATTCTGCCAATCGCTTCATGATGATGGTTGTACTACTTGCAAAACATCTGTACCGGTGGTGCTGAAGAAGTAATAAATTGGTGCATTTGTTCATCACGTGGCAACTGCATTTATTTGCCTGTTTCGGGTAGAGAATGGCATATGACACACAGTGAAATTTTACTCACGTGGCAATCTGCCCCATTTATTATGAATCAAAATACCTTAATGATGTAATTTACAATTAAACTTAGATTTAAAGTCATATCTATTTATTGTATTCTTAGGTGTTTTCGGTAAAGTCACGTAGGTAAAACATCAAAATTAATAAAATAATAAAATAAAAGAAAGATTTTATTATTTTATTTATTTTGATGTTTTACCTACGTGACTTTACCGAAAACACCTAAGAATATGATTCCTTGCAGTCACGAAAGCTTCAAGTCTAGAATCTATTGTGTATGCAGGCAGAGTGGGGCTGTCATTACCACGTTGGGCTACACAATTAGAATCTAAGAACTCGCCGTAAGCCCCTTGATCCATCTGACCACACATTAATTTGTTGTTTCTCACCGTGCAATGCAGGTCACGACGTTTCGTAAGAGTCCGTTCTTTTGGAACAGAACAACTTTCGTCAACAGCTCTGTGGTCGGCTTCCAGATCCGCAACACCACCAAGACACTTGGCCTGAACTCGGTGAAGGTCTCCATAGATCAAGCCACCTTGGGCCAGAATATCCTCAACATCACGCATGTATGCAATGACTCCACGTCCACAAGCTTCCTCCGATTCTCGCTGGTATCCCCAGGTGAGATGGTGTTTATCAGGATCTTCCTAAGCGAAAACGTCAGCACTGCCGTTCATGTGTACATCAAGCTCGGCGCCGTCCCGCAGATGGATCCCGTGAGCAATGATTTCTACTTCATTATCAATGCGTCCTCGACCTCCAATAGCAGCAGTGGCGCGAAGACGACTAATAGCTCTGGGCACAGCTTCGTCATGCAAGGGAGCGACACGAGAGTGGGCATCTACTACATGATCCTCAAATACGCGGGTAAGGTCGTTAAACCCTCTATGTTGGGCAACTGGGTGGCAGTGCTGCAGAAACATTTGTGCTTCATAGCAAAAAGGCCCCGGGTTTGATTCCCAACTCGGGTATCTTTCTGCGTAGAGTTTGTAAGTTTTCCCTCTATTCTGCAGTGTATGAGCGAGTGTGAGTATGTGAGTGGGAGCATCTAAGTGATTGGAGTTTGTATTTTCTCCCCCTTTTCTGCAAGGTGTCTTCAGGATTCTCCAGTTCCATAATAAATAAAAACACAAACAAATATAACTGGTTTTGGCCAAACATCCCAAAGTTAATAACATACTTTCAAACTACTGAGTTGGAATAACACATCGCAACATCACCCCCTCCATGGGAACCACTGATGAAATTTCACTGTATTTCTTAAAATGCTACAGTGTTTCATAATATTTATTTGCAGATGGTGACTGTCAAGAAGTGACTAAAGTGAGCATCCTAAGCTTAACATGCAAATTATGGAATCGTACAACAGATGGATGGAATGCCGGATCTCTACAGGTGAGAAAGGCTATGGAGGGGGGAGGGGGGGCAGCACCACTGCGTAGTCGACCATAATCATGGTACAGGGCCTTTTTAACCCTGTATCCAATGAAGGTTGAAAGCGCTAATGCATTACATCTTAATTTAAAATTCATTTCTTTAGAACTCCTTTTTGTGTTTAGTTTGTTGTCCTTCCCCCACACTTCCGATTAGCACGGTTGGCTATGAACGGTGTGAAAGATACTCTTTGGTTTTTTCGGTAAAGTCACGTAGGTTAAAAGGAAACAAATAAATTAAATCACAACGTTTCGAAGGCAACACAAGCTTCCGTCTTCAGGTAAAACTGTCACAGCAAAATTACTGTATCATGTATAGAGAAGTCCCAAGAGACACGACCTTATATACTAGTTAAGGGGGGGAGGAGCCAAGATGGGCCGTGGGAGAGGAGTTGTTGTGAGATGGTCAGTACGGCTACTGGAACTGTGATTTTGTAATGTAGATGGCAGAAGTAGATAAGCAAGCGAGGGTTAAGCCGCCTTTGTTATGCTGCTGGGTGGGTAAAATTCAAAGCAGGTCACGAGCGTGTGAAAAAAGAAGCTAAACATGATTAATCAAAACTGTCTGTCTATCAGTAAACTGCACGGTAACTAAAGTAAAAAAATAAGCTAAACATGATAAGCAACGTGTGGTGATGTTGATGGTGGTGCGTGGAGCTGGGGGTAACAGACTGGTAATATTTGTATGTTTAAGAAGATAAATCTAAACTGGCTGACTATCAGTAAACTGCACGGTAACTCAAATTTCACTTGGTTAATCACATCTTTCCAATGATTGCTCAATCTGAATCCATCATCTCGGTTAAAGTTATGTCTGTGTTTGTATATCTGGATGGCCTCGTGGACAAATCTTTGGTAGTATCCAGGAGGTTTGCAAAGTACCTTGGTATCTGAGAACACAATGTCATGAGAACCAGCAGTATTATAACAGTGGTCAGCAACGGCCGACGGATTCGTCTTGCCATGTTTCAAATCCGACTTGTGCTCGCGAATGCGGTCAGCATTGTGTCATTTCGTTTCCCCGATATAGCAGTCACCACAGGTACAACTCAATCTGTAAACACCGGGGTACTGTAATTCAGGAATGGCATCCTTTACGGATGGGATCAGATCACGGATTTTGTGTACTGTATTGAATCGAACCTGGATCTTGTGTTTGTTTAGAATTTTGGAAATCTTTTTGGTAACGCCTGCTATGTATGGCAACGTGATGGTTTTGATCGGAGTTTCAGGTGGTTGTTTCTGCATGGTGCGGTCAGAGTATCCGTTCATCTTGAGGGCCCGATGTACATGTTTTAATTCACTGGCCAGGTGGTGTTGGTCAGAGATGCAATGAGCCCTATGATATAGTGTTTTGATGAGGGAATTTTGAGCCGAGAGTGACCCAAAGAACCATTGGGCCCCCTCTCAAACAGAACATCCAAGAATGGTAGCTTGCCATCTTTCTCCATTTCAATGGTAAATTTGATGAATGGGTGTCTGGAATTGATGTGGTCCAGGAATTGGTTCAATGCCGGGAGGCCATGTGGCCAAATGACAAAAGTGTCATCCACATATGTCTTCCACAGGGAAGGACGAAGGGTGGATGTCTGGATGGCATCTGATTCAAATTTCTCCATGAAAACATTGGCTATCACTGGTGACAAAGGGGAATCCATAGGGGTACCCTCATTTTGTTTGTAGAAGGTACCATTCCAAGTAAAGTAAGTGTTGGTGAGGCAGTGCCTAACCAGAGCAGGTACATCAGGGTTCAGTCCATGTTGGACCAAGTCTTCAATTATTGTTATGGTGTCAGGCACTGGGATCTCGGTGAACAGGGAGACCACATCAAAGCTGACGAGGACATCGTCAGGAGACAGTACAATATCCTTGACCATAGAAACCAATTGGGTTAAGTACTGCTGAAGTGGTATTGCCAGTGAAGGGAAGCAGAGTATCTGATAGAAAACGGGCTAGCTTATATGTAGGTGAATTGATCGTGGACACTATGGGCCATAGTGGGGTGCCTTCTTTATGGATCTTGGGAAGACCATAGAGTGTGGGAGGTCTTGCAGCCGAGGGTTTTAGGGAGGGACGTTTGGTTAGTTCGATTAGGGAAGTCGAGCTCGTGATGATCTTGTTGGTTTTTATCGTTAGGATGTTAGTCGGATCACTTTTAATTTTGGAGTAACTGCCATCATTGAGTAGGTCCTGGATTTTGTTGTTGTATGAGTTTTTATCCATGATGACAGTAGCATTGCCCTTGTCGGCCGAGAGAATGACTATATCATCCCTCTTTTTCAAATTTGCGAGTTCAGAGCGTTCGTTTTTGCTTATGTTGCTAATGGGTTTCTTAGCATTCTTGAGAATAGTGGCTATTTCAGCTCTCGCAACGTCCGCTTGGATGTGTCCTATGCCTTTGAGGGCTACATCGACCTGAGAGATCACATCCTCTACTGGTATATGTTTAGGGGTGACAGCGAAATTCAGCCCTTTAGCCAGTACCGTTTTCAGATTTTCCGAAATTGGGAAGTTACTCTGATTGATAACGATCTTGTTAACATCCAGCTTTGTGATGTGTGGTTCTGGTTTTTTCTTTGATAGGAGGTTGAATTTAGCGATCAGGTTAGCTTTACATTTGGTAGACAGTGAATCAGCAGAGGCAGCTGTCATGTTATCAACGCGGTTCCAATCGGAAGGGGACATTTTGTGATGTTCAACATACATAAAAAGTCCATGTCCCTCTTATTCCCGCAGCCCCTTCTCTGATTCCTTCCCCCTGCCCTCATTCATGTATCCTCATCTCCAGACACCAATCCTTTTTTATTCATACCTCGGGGTTAATTTCAGTCAATGAGGTTCAGAGATTGACGTCACTTTGTAGGAAATACAGAATGCCGATTGATGTGGGGATCGTTTTGGGGGACTCCGACACATATTACACCTCCATGACGGACGCATTCTCGCTGGGGTCGACACTGATGCCTTTTCTCACATTAGGTGCACCCGGAATCAACTCTGAGCCGGTGTTTGTGCTCGGCTCAGGGCAGAGTCCCCGGGTTCCCTCCGACCATGCTTGGGCCTCTCTTCATCGGAGCCGCCATCTTCGTTCCTCCCAATGCCATCGACTTCAGCAGCGTGTTCACCAAGTTTGACCTCAAGAACAATGGCGCCGTCTTCGCGACTGTCGTCACCGTCCTCATAATTTACCTGATTCTGATGTTCATGCTGCTGCCCTATGATCGCAGGGATTGGAAAATGGTCAGTGCTCATGAATGCCAGTTTGTTCCTACTTCTTGCACTATTAATGGGGGCCATGTCGGCACATTGGTGATACTCATTCCTCACAGCAACCCAGGCCCAATTCGAACCGATGGCGATATGGTGGTGAGATGTTAACTACCTTTGCCTAGTATACAGGAGGTCGTGGATTTGATTCCGACCCTGGCACCTATATACTAGATACTTGCATGTTCTCCCCGTGGTCGTGTGTATTTTTTTTCTGGGTCCTCCGGTGTTTCCATCCACATTTAGAAACATGTGTTTGGAGTATTTGGCTGCAATAAACTTCCAGATGATAAGCCACTTTGTTGAGCTATCATTTGTGGCCAGGTCACCTCTGAAAAATAACTATATAGCTAGTTGGCCTTATGTGGTAATAGAAAATGGTTTAGTTTAGATTCCAAACTCCTTTCTGCGTGGAGTTTGTACATTCTGCCCCTCTTCTGCATGGGTTTCTTCCGGGTTTTCAGGTTTGCTCCTATAGCTAAACAAGATGTACAATTTTTTACTTAAAACTTTCGTGACTGCAGGAATTCATATTCTATGGTTATTCGGTAAAGTCATGTAGATATCAAAAATAATGACAAAATAATAAAAATGAAAATAAAGTGGATAAAAAATAAGAAAAATATCACGAGGTTTCGATCACAACACAAGCGTTTCTTTTATTATTTTTTTATATCTACGTGACTTTACCGAAATAACCATAGAATATAATTTTTTTTATAATGTAACTGGTATTGGCCAGACATTGCGATACTGAAAAATTACCTGCAAATTACTCAATTGGGGGATTACACATAGCAGCAACATCGCTCCCAACTGCAAAAATCTGGCAGGACCTTCATGAACCACTGTTTGAAATCATCTTCCCGATCCATGGTTGAAATAGCCAATAAGTGTTCACTGCACATTTTGTTATTTGTTTTTACTTTCCTCTGTCTTGTGCCAATATGCTCAAGTAGTGCACATCTTTTTGGCACCAATCTCTTACGTCGACAAGCCATTCTCTGTTAGGTCTATCTTCTTTTTCTGGTTCCTTCCATTTTTCCAAACAACACACTTTTATTTTTCCTGTTTCGTCCATCGTACATTTGTGTCCAAATAGTGTCAGTTTCATTTTCATCATTGCTTGCATCAGGCCTTCTTCTATGTGCAACCTTTTTATTCTATGTTGGTCGTTCTTTGTGTCCAGTTTAGGTGTAGTATCTTTCCGTAGCAATACATTTTCGATGCCAATATCTTATCTCTGTCGGTCTTTTTCAATGTTATACTAAGTTGTACTGAACACGCATGATCCTAAGAGATTCAGTTTGGTCTCATAGCTGATTTGCCTTTGTGATCCTCGCTCTTATGTCTTTCGTGCAGTCGTTGTTCCATGTCAGTCGACTTACCAAGTATACAAATTCCTTCATAATTACAATCTTGCTGCTTTCTAGTATTACTTCTTTATTAATATCCTCCCTTCCAAAAACCATCGTATTTGTCGTTTCCACATTAATCCTCAGTCCTACATCCTTTCCTGACTTATTTAGCTTGTGAACACTTTCCTGCAGTATTACACAACATTTTCCCATCAGATCTATGTTATCAAAAAATCTCAGGTTATTTATTATTTAACCTTGCACAGATATTCCTGTGCCATTGTCCTCAATGGCATCCATCATGGTTGAGAATAACTTATGTAAAGTATACTGTGTTTATTTAAATTATTCTAAATTATTCTCCACCTATCAAATACCCTGGTTTGGCTGGCACAGTCCCAGTGGTTCCAGAGCGGCTGCCCCGGGTGTCCACCACACCCATCCCCCAAAGCTTTTCCATGAATCAGGATGTTGTCCACAGTAAAAAAATATATAGACTCGTCACATGGGCGAAACGTGGAATGTAAGTTTGACACCTGAGGTACAAACAACCAAGACAGTGTGAGCATAATATTTCACGACACCCAAAGAGGGAAGAACGAGATGTAAATGCATGGTCTGGCTTTGATGGAGTAGGAATAATCAGCGTAGGGCACTACCATTAGTGTTCAATGTAAGCTTATCCATAGTAATCATTTTATTGTCGGTTATATTCCAATAATCATATGAAAGGATTTGATATGAATATAGGACACAACAAGGATAAGATAAGGCGAGGTGAATGTGACTGGATGCCAAAATTATTCCAGAGACAGCTTTTGCGACAGTTCTGGCCACAATTGAGTACTGCTAATAGCACCAGAACACGCTACTCCAAACCTTTAACACCAAGGCGAAGAAAACTATCTTAGTGTAATGAGAGAGTGCCGTCTAAGGAACGACTGGGTAACTGCTGGGTAACTAATATCAAATCAGAAGGAAGGGTTCCATCTGGGCCATAGGTAACGGGCAGAGCTCGTAGGTATGTACGGGAACCATCGGGAAGGTTCCACGAGGGGGCATGGCTAGAGGCGGAGCATAGCTCTCCCGAGAGCAATATAAGGACAGGCAGTGAGAGGACTCGAGGTCGGTGTGGGAAGTCTGGAGTCTGGACTGCATCATCGCCTACCTCTACTCACCACCGGCCACGTGGCGGGCTCTGCCAGCGAAGCCTTCACTCCTCCCAGTGCACCACCAGCCAGCGGCGAGCGTGGAGAACGAGAGACACGCCGCGATGGTGGAAGAGGGAGAGCGCATGTCACGGCAGTAGAGAGAGAGGGAAGCCATCCGGAGAGAAAGATCGGAGCTGTGCAGTCAAAAATAAATAAATAAACACCAGTCTAGAGTCGTCGTGGAAGTCGTTTATTACATTAGGATGATGAAGAGTGGTAATTGGAAGGACCACGAACCCCTTCCTGGAGACCTTGGTATCGATCATTATATAATTTGGCTGCAATTGAGCACCTTAACTAAAAGCTGAAGGTAAAAGAATGGAAATTTGAGACAATAGGGGCCCCCTTCCTTCATTACCCTAAATATCTATGGAGCACCTGAGGGAATTATGATGAGAAATTCCGACAGGGGAACCAGTGGAAAGGGTGAGGAGGTGGGGAAACAGGCCACATGACTCACCTCCAATACACCCTGAATAACAGCTGTTCCTAGGAGGGGAATGGGCTGATGTGGGCTTCGAGTTTTTCTAACTTTTTATTTCACTCACTAGTTTATACCCCCACTCCCCTCTTCCCTACCCTCAACCCCACCTTGGTTAGAAAAGGAACCCGATATATTTTAAATAGCCCCCGTTTGGGGAAGAATAAATACCCAGAGGGCGCAGCTCCTGGATTTGTAAACCCGACATGTATGTATGCCCTCCGTCACGATTGCGGTTTTGGGTTCAATTTAAAAAAGCACTAATAGCACAATTCTATCATGCAAGCGTGCCTTGTTTGCCACGTGCATGTGACTGTGACTGGTGCCGTGCTTGTGTCTGTTGCAGTGGAAGCTGCTTCCATTGAAGGACAACCCGGAGGAGAGCTTGTATCATTATCTGATAACCGTGAAGACGGGAATGTTGACCGACGCTGGGACTAAAGCCAATATCTTCTTCATCATCCACTTTGAGGACAGCGACACGGGCATCCGGCATCTCGAGAACAGTGAATGCAAGGTGCGGCCTCGCATTATCTGTGCAAGGGGCCTCGTTATTATTTGTTTAAATAACGTTGTGACGCCGCCAGCGTTGGCAGTGGTACAAGCACAAACAACAAAATCAACCCAACGCGTTTGTAAACAACACAGTGGACTTAAAATTAAATACATATTTTATGCTGCCCCAAAATTATGAAAAAAATATATTTAATTGGAATCGACCATTTGGCTCAGTGGTGGAGTGAACAAGTTGCTTGCAGCAGTTTAAAACCTGGTTGGGTGATGACCTAGCCCATCATTGTCATCTCTCCGAGTCGAAAAAATAAGTACCTCTTTGTGGGGATGTCAACAGTGGGCCAAACAAATGTGGAATTTGCACCACTGGCCCAGGGATGTAAACAGGAGATGAGTACCAATGCCTCAATGCCCATTTGAACCTTCTTTATCAGCAGAAATTACAAAAATGTTGCTCAACACGCGTGAAACCGACCAATCACATTGTTTGCAATGGTATCGTGGCTTTGCGCATCGCCACTTCTATCCAGGAATTTATCCAGGGCGGTGTGCGCTGCTTTGTGCTGTCCACCACGCGATACTACGGGCGGCCCATCCAGCTCAGGATTTGGTTGGACACGAGCGGTGATGACATTGGCAACAAGAGCTGGTTTCTCAGCGAAGTTGTACTGTGTGACACCAGAACGGATGAACAGTAAGGAAAATGCATTTACATTATAGAATTTTAAGATTTTGCCTTTGTCAAGGAAACCGAAGGGGATCTGTTATCGTCTCTTGAATTCTGTCATTACTGCCAGTAAAACATAACGAGATAACCATTTTGAATTGGCCACTCAAAGTTTCCCATTGGCTGATCGCTATTCCGGGATGTCTGATTGGTTAGGCAGAACAGTCACCTGATGATCAATTATCTGTCGACCAGTGATCATTTAAGTGGCTGGGAAACTGGATTAGGTGGAAGTTTGATTTAAGGTGGCTGAGAGAAGGTGCTAGATGGAGGGGTCGTGAGAGATGATATAAGGGATGGGGAGGAAACCCTGCGGTCCGTTGAATATCTTCCTAGGGGGAGGCTGCTGATGGGGTCAGCTGCTGTGAAGAAGTGTGTATAAAGCAGCAACCTTACTCACGTTTACTGGACTCTCTACACATTCATAGGGTGCTTACATGCCTTTGAGCGATAGTATACATGCTGTACATATGTACTATTTTTATTTCCTGTTTTTTTAGAAAATGTTTCATCTTATTAATATAACTACATAGTGCAAAGTAATGTTTTGTTGCCTCGGTGGTAGTAACCCCGATGTATGTATTTCTTTATATATATATTTGAAAAAGAGTAGGTCATGTGTGCCGGCTTCATCCAAGTTTGCCACATTTGATATATTACACTGCCAATTGTTTCATTAATGAGGGAAAAATCACATAGCAGAATCACTCCTTACTGGCAGAAAAATGGTAATTTGCTGGCCGGTGCTGCTTGTACCTTGTGCCTCACAGGGACCAATGTTAGACTACCACAGCACATAAGATTGGTTGAGATGAGATGTGATGCTCCACTATACATGCAAATTCTTACATCCTTATAGGCTCACAGGTAGTATATTGTAATAAGGAGCGCTGCCTGCCACCAGGTTCTACTTCGTGTGCAACAATTGGCTGGCGGTAGATCAGGGGGACGGGCGCGTGTGCAGGGACATCACGGTGAGCGACCACCATGCCGTGTTCGACTCCAAGAGGCTGCTTGCCTCCACTGTGAAAAGCAACTACGCCGAGGGCCACATGTGGTGAGCGAGATACGTATCTGGTCAGGATGCTACCACTCGACAGAAATCCCCAACGTTACCCTAATCTCGCATGAAGTTGTTCCTAAGTTTAACGTGCACGTATACGTGTGTGTGTCGGGCCTATTTCACCCACAGGAGCTCCATTTTCTTCCGTCCATCTAAGAGCAACTTCTCACGATTGGAGCGGCTGTCAAGCTGTGTGTCGTTGCTTTTCCTCATGATGCTCGTCAATGGCATGTGGTTTGAGACGGACACGGGCGGCGCCAGCGCCCCGCACATAGGGCCCTTCACGTACGGTGAGCTCTTTGTCATGATCGCGAGCGCCCTCATGGAGGTCCCTATCAGCATCCTTATTGTCCAGATCTTCCGCCGCACGGGCCACAAGCCCTGGAAGAAGGCGGGGGGAGGAGGAGGGGGCTGCACGTCCCATCAGTTCCCGCATTGGACCCTGTACATCGCCTGGACGCTGGTGGTTCTGGTAATCGGGACGAGCGGCTTCTTCACCATCCTCTACAGCATGGAGTGGGGCCCCGAGAAGGCCAACCGCTGGCTCGTGCGCTTCCTCACCTCTTTTTGCATGTCCGTCATTCTCATTCAGCCCATCAAGGTGATTACAAATTCCTGCAACATCAAGATAGGTTCATCATTTACAGTACATGTACCTCGACACATCCATACATGTACCCAAGCACACAAAATACTTTCCACTTGTTTACTTTGACACGTACATACAGAGATCATCTGAATAACACTGCCGGGCAGGTTTTTGCGGTTGTGCTGCTTAGCTCTCCAGCATGTTTTCGGGTCGTACCACGAGTCGTTCGGCTCAGTGTCTTGACATTTCGCTCCACGTGTTGGGAGCTTCTGAATTCAGATGAATTGAACTTGCTTAACAATATACGATTATAACGTGGTGCCAATGTCAAATCCCATATTCTAAATTGAAGTCGATCACGCGTAAGTAAGAGTGTTGCCTTGTTTTAAAGAGGCTGTGTTCGTAACTTTTGAATTTCTTCCTACTTGTTCACATCTTAGATTCTGGGCCTTTCGGTCGCGGGCATGGTGATGGCAAAAAGAAAGAGAAACATGGACGATGAGCACACCCGGTTATACCGTACAGATGAAAAGTGCCCAAAACAGGCATCAGAAGAAAAAAGAGGTTCTTAAATATAATGCCCACAGACACACTGTCCATAGCCATAGTACGATTGTAAACACTATCTATGATACTCTTTGGTTTGTTCGGTAAAGTCACGTAAGTATAAAATAAATCACGACGTTTCGATCGCAACAAGCGGTCGTCCTCAGGTGGAAAAGATATAATCCAGCAGTGGAACTGCTGAACTAGCGAGGGAGCAGTTACAACAAGGTTTATATGTGGCGATGGGCAAGCAAGCGGGGTCTGAGCTGGAAAGGAATTCCACCCCCGGACGCAAGCACGTCAGTTGTATTAATGGGGGAGATTAGGGAGAAAGGGATTAGGGAGGGAGATTAGCATGAATGAGCTTCCGTCGCTGCATAAGAGTATCATGCCCGCATATGCGCACAACAGCAGTGTTAATGAGAGATTAACACCATGAGAGTGCAATCCAAAGGACGTGAACATGAGAGTGCAATCCAAAGTTCATGTGAGCATGAGAGGTGCAATCAAAAGGACATGTGAGCATGAGAGTGCTTTCGGACACGCTTGAGATGCGTGAGCGATCACGGAACCCCCCTGTATAACCATAGTGTTGGACCCGGCATTAAGGACTTGAATAAACGGTGGCTGGTCCCGGGAGACCAGCGTCTGCGCCGCAACGAGTGACGTCCCCCGACTAAGCTTATTCAAGGGACCCAGTACAATACCGTCCCCCACAGTGCGTGCATCGAGCGGTTTACGCAATCGAAGAGGCACCAGCATTTGTGTACCGGGCGGAATCCGCACCATGCGGCACGCAAGTGCCTGTACCGTAGCGTTAGCAGAATATACGCGAGTCGAGGACGGAAGAAAAGCCAAACGCCGTCCCGACAACAATTCCAAACAACCCTGGTCGATACGAATTTTCAGGGACATCTTGCCGAGAAAATTAGTCCCTAGCAAGCACGGGACAGCCAGGGCCATGGAAACCAATACATGGCCCGACAATTGTACATCGGCAATGCGCAACGTAATGGAGATTCTACCAATTATCCCCAACGATTCGGCGTTAGTGGCGAAACATGGAACATCCACTCCAGAACCCGACACCGGGGGGGCAAAATGTTGTAAATTAGCTCGGAGATAATGGTTTTAGACGCGCCGGTATCCACAAGCATGCGCACCTCAACCCCCTCAAGGAACCCAAGCACAGCTGACGACCCCACGGTCGCTGTGACCATGCGACCCGCCAGCTCCGACCACTGATCTGGTCGGAGCAGCCATGCGTCGCGAACACACCCCGACTCCCCCCGAACCCGCGCGCGACCTCGCCGCAAATCGGACCCCCCCGATGAGTGAAGTGAACCCTGGGGCCGAGTGTGAGGTGCGCCGAGACTCGCCTTAGGGGGTAGGGAGTCGTAGGAAAGCGGACGTTCTAGGGCCCGCCGTCGAGGAACCCAGCCCGACTGGACGTGGCCCGGCAGGCCGCAGTTGTAGCAGGTGACCCGTCCGTCGCTGGATCGGGACAAAGCAGACCTCGCCCACCGCCGGTCGTCCCACTGCCGATCTCCATCACCCCGACGATCGGCGCTCCGCTGATGCAGCGAGCACGCGGACGCAGGCTCTCCGTCCGCGTGGCCCTCGGGCTCCGCGGAAGATGCGGAGCACGCCACCAACACCCTGTCACACTGCAGGGTCTGCTGCGCCTCTATACACCTCTCGATCTTGAGTGAAGACATCTCCCAGTCCTCGGCGGGAAGCACAGTACGGAGATCCTTGGCGAGCTCCAACATTTTCTCGAGGGCCATGGCGTCAAGGCCATTGTGATCCATTCATGGGAACGCGGCCTTCACCAGCGCTTAATGTGCACTCCTGTAGGCGAGGGCCGACTCACTATGCCCTCTACGCCTCACGGCGCACTTTTGACGGGTGTTCAGTTCGAAAGTGGCGGCCATCTAGTCAAACACCTGCGTGAGGGTGGACCTCTCGGACAGCGGGATGGCGAGGAACGCCGCTAAAGCATCATCGTCAAGGGTGGCGGGGAGTGCCTTCACCGCGTCTGCCTTTGACCACCCCGCCAAGTCGGCATTAGTGAAAAATCGCCGCTTAAATGCTACCCAATCGCCTCTGGCGGCAACAAATTATTTAACTCAGGGCAGCCGACGGTGGAGCGACTGGATGTTGAATGACGAGGATGTCCCCGCTTCCAGCTTGGCGGGCTCCGCGCTTCCCGCCAGTGCCAAAATGGCGCCCGCGAGCGCAGGCAGCGGCGATGGCGTTTCCGCCCTTTGTGAAATGGCGGCCGAGTCACCCCGTCCAGACGGCTCCGCCGCCCCCTCCTTCGGCATCGATGGTAGGGACCACATCTCGACGAGGATGGAGGACGCCGCTTGGAGGAGGTCAGCGAGACGGCCATGCACATCCCTGACGAGCTCTTCCATTGAAGACGAGGAGCCCTAATTTCACTCTCCCTCATCTCCCCCATTAACACAACTGACATGCTTGCGTCCGGGGGTGGAATTCCTTTCCAGCTCGGACCCCGCTTGCTTGCCCATCGCCACATATATAACCTTGTTGTAACTGCTCTCTCGCTAGTTCAGCATTTCCACTGCTGGATTATATTTTTTCCACCTGAGGACGACTGCTTGTGTTGCGATCAAAACGTCGTGATTCATTTTATTTTATTTTATACCTACGTGACTTTACCGAAAGAACCAAAGAGTATGGATTCCTGCAGTCACGAAAGCTTCAAATCACTATCTATGATATATGCAACCACTTTGACCATCATTATTATGATTACACTTGGATACCAGGAAAATAATGATTGAGTCTCATTCTTCTTTACACTTCAGGGGATGATTCTGCTGCTGTGTGGAATCCCAATTGAGTAATTTGCAGATAGTTTTCAGCCATTTATATTATGTTGTTTTTAACTATCAGAGGAACCTGGAGAACCCAGGAACCCCATGCAGAACACGGGAGAAATGCAAAAACTCCATATGGAAAGGCATCCGAGTTGGGAATTGAACCCATATACTTTATGGAAATTTCCCCTAGCTATTGCCATCTCTTGGTTGAGCGTCCGGGTGGTGCAGTGGTAACACTTGCCTCAGCAATTGGGATATCTTGTTGAACCTCCCCCCCCCCCCAAAAGTTAAAGCTTAGCAGGGCCATCATAAAAAAATGTCTGGAGACTTAGTGAGGCTTTCCTGGGTAAAAAAAGTGGAATGATAAAATAATAGTTGTCATATTAACCTTAATGCGAAGTTGCTGTGGTTGCCGATTGTTTTATTTTGGCAGAGTCAGAGGACAGTTATGTGGAGCTGCCTGAGCTGGACTACGTAGAGCCCCCCCCACAGGCCGAGAGCTTGGCGATGCTCACAGAGACGTCGCGCCAGGAGAGGGAGGCCTCGGCGATCCTCAGCAGTGCTGCGCTGCACGCCGCGTTCACGCTCGCGCTGCTGCTCATCGTGTACACTCGCGTTGACGGCCATGCCTTCCACATGCACCGCCAGATGAAGAGGATCTTCACTGAAAGCTCATTTGACAGGGCAAGGAGAACACCCGTTCCCTGTATTTTCTCTCACTAACCCATTTGTTTATACAATCTGGGAGGAGCAGCTTTGCGGTGGTTAGTGCACCACAATATGAATCCGACGAGATGAGTTCGATTCCCCACCATGGCTAACATCAGTGGCGAGTGGTGAAATCGAACCGGTATTGGACCACCCTTGTTCCCCGCCCCCCTTTACTAACACATCATTAGCATAGGACCACGTGGAGCTGCAGGTGTGTGGAGTGAGAGGAGGGAAATGTGTGGAATAGCAGTCGGAGTATGGAGTGAGGAAGGGAATGTGAAGAGCAAGCGGGAGGTGCATGGAGAGGTGGGACATTCGTGGAGTGAGCAAAGGGAGATTTGTGGAATAAGAGTTTAATATGTGTGGCATAAGAGGAGGAAGATATATGCAGTGACAAATTGGACTGGTGGGGCATGAGAGGTGGGTGATGCACAAATAAGCAGGAGATGCATGCAATCACACATCCAGGATATTGTAAGAAATGCTAAATTAAATAACGAGGCTCCATGGAAATTGGTATTTTTGATTCCCAGAAGAGGCGTAATAAATACAATTTTAGTCAATGTAGAATATAGAGGTGATTTTGTTCAAGTAAGAGCGGAGTGAGCAGAACAACAGGCTGATAGAACATTTTGGAAGTCAGAGCATGGACACCTTAAATGAGCAGGATTTCAATGGAGTGGTTGATACATGTGTAGTGAGTCCCACTGAGTCGCAGACGTTATCTTGGGAGCAACGCACATTAACACAACATGACGATATACACTCGGGTCTCAAATGCCCATCTAACCACTCTACGGCAGAACTAGACGCGGTTCGCTATCCCGGTCCAGACCACAAACGGGGTCCCGGACCGCGTGGCTAGTGGCTTCTCCCCAACGTGGATCTTCATAACACCACACAAAAAACCTCGAGCTCCTCACGGGGGCCCTCGTTATATGCCCCCGGGCTGGGGCTGGCTCCGCCCTACACCCCTCCCACCTTCTAGGTCTCTCGAGGTTCTCGAAGGTTCCTGAGAGCTCCTTTGGACCATGTGACCGCCTCATGGCCCCCATCCACTGGTGGCCCCCCTCCAATCTCATCCATTCACGTGACAGCAGGTCAACCAGCGTATCATGCCCCAAGGTAACCCTGGCTGGCTGACGCTCCCTCTCGCTCCCTCGCCGGGAGCCCGCTCCGCACGCTGCTCGCAGTGCCTCCGCGCTAACCAGCGCTCACCCAAGCCCTGCTAGGGCTGGTACTACATCCCATAACCCGGGCTGCCTGTAAGGACAACATTACCAGCTGTGGCTCCGCAAGCCCCGGCACCATACAGTGACAAGCACAGTCACTACATTACTCCCCCTTCATAGCTTCCAGCCATTCCGGCTGCCAACCTTCCCCCAAAGCATCCCGAGCAATGGGGACATCGCTCATCCCCCCCCCCCCCCCCCATCGCCTTCATGGCAGACACAACGAGAGGGGAGGGAGAGGTCGAGCCGTTTGGTAGACAACGACCCGAACCAGAAAAACACGCTCAACTCTCCAGGTGCTGGCAATCGCAATAGGGCATCAGCGTTCATATGGCGAGAGAACCCTTACGATACGTGACATTGAATGAAAAATCTTGCACAATTTTGAGCCAGTGTGACAATTGACCGGAGGGCTGGTCCACACGCAGCACGTATTGGAGCGCCGCGTGATCGGAGCGCACTTCGAAGTGTTGCCTGTACAAGTATGGCCGATATTGCTGAACAAAATCCACAATGACCAACAGTTCCCGGCGTGTAACGCAGTACTGTTGCTCCGCCGGAGACAGCATCCTGCTGCCATATGCAACCATGTCCTCCATGCCATTTACGACTTGGGATAACACGGCACCAATGCTGGTATTACTGGCGTCCGTGTCCAAAATGAATGGCAACGAAAAGTCGGGATAACGCAGGGGAGGGGCGTTAACAAGCCCTCTACCTCCCCCCCCAATGCCATTTTTGGACCTTTGCTGTCAGGGCGTGGAGAAGTTTAGCAATGGACGCGAACGCCACCATAAATCGGCGATAATTAGAGGCGAAGCCGATAAAACTGCGCACCTTGCTGGCTGAGGTGTGGGTCGTCTGAACTCGAGCAGTTTTCTCGGGGTCTGTCACGTTACATGATTCGCTGACTGTGGCCCAAGTATTGAACAGATTTTTGGAGCAGATGACATTTTTAGGGCTTGAATTTCAAGTCTGCCGCATGCATATTAACGAAAACAGCATGCAGGCGATCCAAATGCTCATCAACCGTGCGGCCAAAAACGATGACGTCTTCCAAATAGATTAGGCACGAATCCCACTGGAGGCCCGCCAAAACCAAATACATCAGCCTCTCAAAAGTGGCCGGCGTGGAATGGAGCCCTATAGGAAGCCGGTTAAACTCGAACAACCCTTGCAGTGTCTGAAAAGCCGTCTTGGGTCTTGAGGCCTCTTCAAGCGGCAACTGCCAAAAACCCGACTAAAGGTCCAGGGTTGAAAAGCGCGCGCCTGCCAGAGCGTCCAATAAATCGTCCATGCGAGGCAGGGGGTAGGCATCCATGACCGAAGCTTTGTTAAGTTTCCGGAAATCGACAACTGCAGACTGCCGTTGAGCTTTTTAACAAGGATGATTGGAGCACCCCATGGACTGGTAGATGGTGAAATTATATCCGTGGCCAACATTTCATCTACTGCCACACGAACATGTTCCTTTTTGGCCGGACTTAGGCGGTTAAGGATTCTGCCGAATGGGGGCGGCATTTCCCGTGTCAATATGGTGGCTCAACAGAAACGTCTGACCCATATCAAATTCAGATTTACTAATAATGTCAGAAAACTCCCGTAGGAGCACTCTCAGCTTCCCCATTTGCCTCACGGACAAATCGCCGCATTCCGAGCACAGTTTATCCATCCATGCCTCAACAACCGGAGGTCAGTGAGACCGAACGCTGACCCCGACATTTCCCACGACATCCGCTTTCGGACACGCTGGAGACGCGTGAGCGATCACGGAACCCTCCTGAATAACTGTAGTGTTGGACCCGGCATTAAGGACTTGAATAAACGGTGGCTGGTCCCGGGAGACCAGCGTATGCGCCGCAACGAGTGACATCCCCTGACTAAGCTTATTCAAGGAACCCAATACAATACCGTCCCCCACAGTGCATGCATCGAGCGGTTTACGCAATCGAAGAGGCACCAGCATTTGTGTGCCGGGCGGAATCCGCACCATGCGGCATGCAAGTGCCTGTACCGTAGCGTTAGCAGAATATACGCTAGTCGAGGATGGAAGAAAAGCCAAACGCCGTCCCGACGGCAATTCCAAACAGCCCTGGTCGATACGAATTTTCAGGGACATCTTGCCGAGAAAATTAGTCGCTAGCAAGCACGGGACAGCCAGGGCCATGGAAACCAATACATGGCCCGACAATTGGACATCGGCAATGCGCAACGTAACGGAGATTCTACCAATTATCCCCAATGATTCGCCGTTAGCGACGAAACATAGAGCATCCACTCCAAAACCCGACACCGGGGGGCAAAATGTTGTAAATTAGCTCGGAGATAATGGTTTTAGACGTGCCGGTATCCACAAGCATGCGCACCTCAACCCCCTCAAGGAACCCAAGCATGGCCGACGACCCCACGGTCGCTGCGACCACGCGACCCGCCAGCTCCGACCACTGATCTGGTCGGAGGGGCCATGCGTCGCGAACACGCCCCGACTCTTCCCGAACCCGCCCGTGACCTCGCCACAAATCTGACCCCCCCCAATGAGTGAAGTTAACCCTGGGGCCAAGTGTGAGGTGCGCCGAGACCCGCCTTAGGTGTAGGGAGTCGTAGGAAGGCGGACGTTCTCGGGCCCGACGTCGAGGAACCCAGCCCGACTGAACGTGCCCCGGCAGGCCGCAGTTGTAGCAGGTGACCTGTCCGTCGCTGGATCGGGACAAAGCAGACCTCGCCCACCGCCGGTCGTCCCGCCGCCGATCTCCATCACCCTGACGATCGTCGTTCCGCTGATGCAGCGAGCACGCGGACGCAGGCTCTCCGTCCGTGTGGCCCTTAGGCTCCGCGGGAGATGCGGAGCACGCCACCAACACCCTGTTACGCTGCAGGGTCTGCTGCGCCTGTATACACCTCTCGATCTTGAGTGAAGACACCTCCTCGTCCTCGGCGGGCAAGCTCCAACATTTTCTTCGAGACCATGGCGTCAAGGCCATCGTGATCCATTCACGGGAACGTGGCCTTCACCAGCGCTAAAAGCGCACTCCTGTCTCCGCCTCATGGCACACTTCTGACGGGTGTTCAGTTCGAAACTGGTGGCCATCTGGTCAAACACCTGTGTGAGGGTGGACCTCTCGGACAGCGGGATGGTGAGGAATGCCGCTAAAGTATCATCGTCAAGGGTGGTGGGGAGCGCCTTCAGCGCATCTGCCTCTGACCACCCCGCCACGTCGGCATTAGTGAAAAATCGCCGCTTAAATGCTACCCAATCGCCTCTGGCGGCAACATTATTTAACGAAGGGCAGCCGACGGTGGAGCGACTGGACGTTGAATGACGAGGACGTCCCCGCTTCCAGCTTGGTGGACTCCGCGCTTCCCGCCAGCGTCAAAATGGTGCCCGCGAGCGCAGGCTGCGGCAATGGCGTTCCCGCCCTATGTAAAATGGCGGCCGAGTCGCTCCGTCCAGACGACTTCGCCGCCCCCTCCTTCGGCATCGACGGTAGGGACCACATCTCGACAAGGATGGAGGACGCCGCTTGGAGGTCAGCGAGACGTCCATGCACATCCCTGACGAGCTCTTCCATTGAAGATGAGGAGCCCCGTGCCCTGACTGCGCCCTGCTCTGCGGGCAGCGTCTCTGCTCCGTCCTCGATGGCCATGGGCGGAATCAGCTCCTCGTCTTCGTCATCCGACGCATGTACATGAACTCTGTGACGTGTAGACATAACTCGTTAACTCGTTTACTCATAACTCATTTAAGTTGGCCACTTCTGACACCAGTTGTATCATAGTCCAACTGAGTCGCAGACGTTATCTTGGGAGCAACACTTACACATTAAGAACCTCGAGCTCCTCACGGGGCCCTCGTTATATGCCCCCGGGCTGTGGCTGGCTCCGCCCTACGTCCTGCCTACCTTCCAGGTCTCTCGAGCTCCTTCTCGAAGGTTCCCGAAAAGCTTCTTTGGACCACGTGACCGCCCCATGGCCCCCATCCACCAGTGGCCCCCCAATATCATCCGGTCACGTGACAACAGGTCAGCCAGCGTATCATGCCCCAAGATAACCCTGGCTGGCTGACGCTCCCTCTCGCTCCCTCACCGGGATCCCGCACCGCACGCTGCCCGCGGTGCCTCCGCGCTAACCAGCGCTCACCCAAGCCCCTAACCCGGGCTGCCCTTAATGACAACACATTACCGGCCATGGCTTCGCAAGCCCTGGCACCATACAGGGACAAACACGGTCACTACACATGGATAGGGCTACCACCCCCAAGAAATATCTAAGATACAAGACTTGGGACACATCATAGGAAGAATAGTATCTAAAAATACCAACATAAAATAGAACTACTTGTACACGCATTGTCTTTAGCGGTGTATTTTTATTATGCAACTGACTTGTAATGTCACGTGCAATCTTACATATTTTTCCATGACAGCTACATCCTCCACCCCATGACGCACAACACATTTCTTGACAAAGTGAAATGTGATTTAGCCATCAGCTGATGTGATTGTGAAGTGTTTTTATGCTGCTCTAGGTGAGAGACCAGCAAGCATTCTGGAAGTGGATGAACACCACGGCGCTCCCTAACCTTTACCCTGAAGTAAAAAGCAAATCTGCAAGGGATGCTGGGATTGCTTTCTTGCCAGCTCTGGGCAGCTACCGCATTGGGCCAGTGCGGCTGTGGCAGTTCAGGAAAGTCAACGGTGCGTTGTGAACAGTGATACACTATCTGAAAGATATAATACGTGATGCTTTTGGAAATGGTCCTTCATCATAGCATGTAAAAAAATTGCAATGAAGAAGGGTCATTGCCCAAAACAGCACAAATATTTGTATGACATCACTCCACGTCGACCAGCCCCCATTAATAATAATGAACAGGTGACGTCCTCCAAATGGACACCCCCCCTTCATTAATAATAATTAGTGGGTGAAATCACTCCATGGAAGGACGAGGCGCCTCTTGCCCGCTCCTCAGCGTCAACTTATAACCCTCACTACAAAGGCAAAACCCTCCCATCACGCGATCTCCGTAACGCTACTGAGACATAGAAGTAAAAAGGACGTCATGATGAACAAGGGATTTTAACCTTTAAATGAAATAAGTCTGTCACCACGGCCTTACAAATTGAACACGAATGGATGCAATGAATATCACGTCGTCCGATTTTCACTTGCAAGTTTCAGATTTACTGCAATACACCCGTCCTTGGATGGGCAAAAGGCTAGTCATATGTTTACGTTTAAGGCCACACATGGTGTTATTACTTTTGAATGTGTTCGTTTTTTTTACTGTCTTTGTGCACCACTGCCAACGCAGCAGCATCACCTAATAATTCGTTTTATACTGAAGCCAACTGATTAACTTTTCTTAGACTTTAAACCAACTTTTACTGGGAGTTATTAAGGTACAAGGTGCAGCCCGTAAGTTGCCTGCTCACACTGCTGCTGGCACAAGGGCCTCCACCAGAGAGAGTTCCGTGAGTGCTCTAAGTATATTTTGGGCCTCCAGAAGTGGATTGACCAAGCGACTGTATGTGTGTTGGTTAATATTACTGTAGAGACGTAAATAGCGTCTCTACGGTGTATTTGCCGAATCCAACTGTAATAAAGGACTCGACCACGATGTCTGGCTTGGTGTCCTTTATTCGGTTCTTCTCTCTTAACCCGCACGGCTGTCCTTCTATAAGACTCTATACTGACACTGATACTGCTCTCCTGCAGTTTCTCCCCTCGTCGTTCTCTCAGCCTCTCTCTCCTCTCGTCGCTCTCGTAGCCTCTCCCTCACACACAGCCTCGCCGGCTGTGTTCCCCGCAGCTCCTCGTCCGCCTTCTCTCCAGCCGCCCCACCGCTGTCTTCTCTCGCAGCTCCGCTGGCTGCTCCCTTAGCTGGCCACCGCTGGCCGCCGCTGCCACCCCTTGGCTTTGCCCACGTGGCCTTACTCTGGTCCAGTCCCACTCGTTCTGCCTTCCTCTTCCGGTCTCCTCCCTTAAGAACCTTAACCTTTCCTCCCACGTCACCTAACTCCACCTCTCCGTGACGTCACATCCGGGAGGTCGCCCGCGCCCGCATTACACCACCCTCCCCCGTGGAGAAAAACCCAGCCGACCTCGGCTGAACAACACCAACAGTAATGCGGGCGAACCCGAGCGTAACACACCAAAGGACACCAAGCATGCAATATAACAGTAAGAACAATCAACACAACTCAACAATCAATAACGTAGCAGAAGCAGGCAATAAATACACAGTAAGAACAATACAACATAACAATCAACGAAACACAAGGGATTTAGAGCGTGTGCGGGTCGCCGGCCCGTCCCGGACGGTCGGCGGCCCATCCGCGGAACGGGAACGTGATTGAGTTTGAGGAGCGACAGGGTGAAATCCCCCTGTCGCTGTTGGAAGTCCACCAACGTCCCGTGTCCTTGAAGGATCAGTCTTGGGCTTGTCCCGCGGATGCGTCTGCAGCGGGGTCGGAAGGGCTGCAGGGCTCGAAGGACCCGCAGATCTGGCAGGCACCCTCCGAGCAGAGCGCCTCGTCCCCTCCGGTGTCAAGGCCGGCCTGCCTGGAACAGGTACGACAGGCGCTCTAGCAAGATCAATGGACGCAGGCGGGGGAGAGTCGGCAGCAACAGACCCCGGCAAGGCAACATTGGGAGATGATGCATCATGTAGGGGAGCAACATACGGTTTCAAGCGCGACGTGTGAACAAACCAGCGGCGAGAACCAATTTGAACACGCGCCGACTGAGGATTAGGAACCTCAATGAGGCGGACAGGCCCTCGCCAAGGTTTGTGAAATTTGGGAGAGGTACCCGGCCGCACCTGCGGGCAATGGAGCCAGGCCAGGTCCCCAACCTTCCAGGGGCACTCCCCTTTGGAACGCCGTGCGTACCTCTCATTTCGGGCCTGAGCTTTGGCCGTAGCCACACGGGCACTCTCCCGCGCCTCCGAGACCCGGCGAACAGTGTCCCGAATGTAGTCAGGAAGCGGTTTACAAGGTCCCCTCACACCGGTTCCCATCTGCACATCCATTGGCGGCACGTTTTCCCGACCATACATAAGGTAAAATGGCGAATAACCCGTAGCCGCATGAGGAGTCATCCTGTACGCCGAAAGCACCCCCGGGATGTGCAGGTCCCAATCCGATTGTTGCTCACTCACCGTGTGGCACAGCATGGCAGACAATGTCCGGTTTAGCCGCTCAACCATACCATCCGTTTGCGGATGGTATGGGGATGTCCGGACCTTCTTAGTCCCTAGGCCCGCGCATACTTCCGCCAATAATTTCGAAGAAAAATTTCGGCCCTGATCCGTAAGGAGTCTCTCCGGCGCACCCTTGTCCATAACATATCCGAACAAAAAGGCGTCGGTAATGGCCGCGGCCGATTGATCGGGCAACGGCCAGGCCATCGGCCAACGGGAGAGGTACTCAACCCCGACCAGCAAATATTTATTACCCCTCGCCGAAGGTGGGAAAGGTCCCAAAATGTCCAGTGCCACCAATTCATTGACCCGAGACACCCGAATTGACTGTAAGGGTGGCACATAAGGATGTTTAGGAGGCTTACGCCGGGCACAGTCAGGGCACGCGCGGACGTGCCCCACGACATCCGTCGACATGCCGTGCCAAAAATAATGACGTTGCAACGTCAACAAGGTCTTCTGCACACCCAGATGTAATAGCGTGTCACAATGGAGAGTTCTAATCAACTCGTATCGGAGGGACGCAGGCACCACTAGACGCCAGTGTTCCTGGAGACTTTCCCTCCACATAAGCAGACCATCTCGGACCGCGGTTTCCGGCGCACCCTCCGTAACCGGACCCCCAACCTCCACTTTGGATCGCTTCCGCAAGGACACTAACGACTCATCCATCATTTGCTCCCTTATCCAAACAGACCGTGGCAGATTCAAAACCCCATCAGTCGGCCCCGGTTCCACAGTAGCATCCGACTTCTCCACAGCCAATACCACCGGCTGAGGGGGGGGTAGGCTGGGCGCACATCTCTGCGTCCCCGACGCACATTTGCAAGGGGAGCGCTGCGGCAACCTAGAAAGTGCGTCTGCGTTCGCATGGCGCACCCCTTTACGATGGTGAATTTGAAATGAAAATTCTTGCAGCGTGTCCAACCAACGCGACAGCTGGCCGGAAGGTTGATCCATTTTAAGGGCATATTGCAAGGCCGCATGATCCGTACGTACGATAAAGGAACGGCCGTACAGGTACGGTCGAAACTGACGTAGGAAAAAAACAACGGCTAAGAGTTCCCTGCGAGTGACACAGTAGCGTGTTTCCGCGGGCGACAGGACCCGGCTACCATACGCAACGACGCGCTCTACGCCCCCTTTAGACTGAGACAACACCGCGCCAATACCTGTGTCGCTCGCATCCGTATCAAGAATGAACGGTTGATTGAAATCCGGATAATCCAATGTTGGGGCGGTAGCCAACAGATTACGCAGACTCTGAAAGGCCGCCTCTTCCGGCGGTCCCCACGCAAACTTACGTCCCTTACCCGTAAGGAGGTGCAAGGGCCTCGCGATGGTCGCAAAATTCGGTACAAATCTTCGATAATACGAGGCAAATCCCAGAAAGCGACGTACATCCCCCACGGTGACCGGAGTCGGCCAATCTCGGACGCACGCCGTTTTTTCCGGGTCCGTAGACACCCCCTCAGCACTCACGATGTGCCCCAAATAACGGACGGACCGTTGCAGTAGGTGACATTTCTTTGGTTTAAATTTCAAGTTCGCGGAGCGCATCCTCGCGAACACCGTCTCCAGCCGCCTTAAATGTTCATCAAATGTGCGGCTGAAGACGATGATATCGTCCAAATATATGAGACATGTCTCCCACTGCAACCCCGTCAAAACGAGTTCCATGAGCCTTTGAAATGTGGCAGGGGCCGCATTCAGCCCCATCGGAAGGCAGTTAAATTGAAACAACCCCTGCGGCGTACGGAATGCGGTCTTCTCCCGTGAGGGCTCGTCAAGGGGAAGCTGCCAAAATCCCGAAGAGAGGTCCAGTGTAGAGAAATACTTAGCCCCCGACAATGCGTCGAGGGAGTCGTCCATACGCGGCAGGGGATACGCATCTGCCACCGATATCTTATTCAATTTTCGAAAGTCAACACAGAATCGCAATTTGCCATCCTTTTTCTTAACCAAAACCACAGGCGCGCCCCATGGGCTGTTCGACGGCGATATAATATCCGCAGCCAACATATCCTCCACTGCCCCCCGAACGTGTTCCCGCTCGGCCGGACTCATTCGGTGCGAATTCAACCGAATAGGGGCAGCGTCGCCTGTAGCAATGTGATGGTGAAGCAATGAGGTGCGTCCCAAATCCAAATCATTGGAGCTAAACACATCGGAATACGTCAATAACAATTTATGAAGCGCACCCCGTTGATCCACAGACAGGGAAGAATTTCCGTCACATAAGCTAGCAATCCAGCGGTCATCCGAAGCCACAGGCTCGGAAACACCAGCAACCACTCCCTGGCTATGCGCACAATCGTGAGCCGTAAATGCCGTGGTGGCATGTGCCACAACCGTGCCGGCTGGGACACAGACATTTTCCGTACCCGCATTGAGCACCTGCAAAAACGGTAATTGGTCTGGCCGGACGATGGTCTGCGCTCCGACCAGCGCCGATCCGGCCGTTATCGAGGCTGAAGGTGACAACAAGATCCCAACCGCTCCCAGCCGACCAGGCAGGGGCTTCCGATACCGCAGGGGAATAAGCATCTGTGAACCAGGTGGAATATCAACAGATGCCACGGATAGCGCCTGCACTTGTACGGCCGAAGCAGGTCGCCCCCAGGGCGACGGCAGAAACGAAATTTGACGGCCACCCGGCAGTTCAATACAATTCTCATTAATTTTGATCAAAATAGGCATCTTAGCCAGAAAATCAGTGCCCAATAAACAGGGAACTGCCAAGGATCTTGAAATCAACACAACGCCCGAGGCCGACACATCCCCAATAGATATTTTAGCGTCCACCTGGCCCACGATGCCCATACTACCCCCGTTCGCAGCGACGCACGACCCGTAAACCGGACGCACGGCCCCGGGTGGGATGCCTAACAGATGAAAAATGACATCCGAAATAATAGTCGCGGACGCCCCGGAATCGACCAAAATGCGCACGTCCACCCCTTGTATAGACCCCGGCACGGTGGACGAACCCGTAGCGGCCGCAACAACCCTCCGTGCCAATTTGCGCCACTGCGTCACAGAGCGACAAGGCCCCGTCGAAGGTCCCTCTTTAACAACAACACTATGACCGCACAACGAAGGTGATGGGTGAGGTGTAAAGCCTTGCCGGGTGTCTGGTGCGTGCCGACTTGCCTGTTTCGGTGGATCCTTGGGCGGCTTGGCCGGTAATGAGGCCTCCTGTTGTGGCGGACCCGGGATGCGGGCCCAGCAGTCCTTCGCGTAGTGGCCCTTCCGTCCGCAGCGGAAGCAATCGGCGTCGTTGCGCCGAAGCGCAGGCCTTGCATCGCGCCGCCCGCGTATCGGCGGTGCAGCACGAGAGGCCGGTCCACCGCGGCCTGACCATGGCACCGAGGCGGCCGTCAGCTCCTGAGGGCCCCGCTCATCCGGCACGTATACCGACTTCGTAGGGTCCCAACCCAGAGCGCCACCCTCCGCGACGGGCCCCCCTGTCCACGCCGTGACCTGTTTCCATCGTCGTAGGTTGAATTGTGCATCCAGACATTTCGCCGCCGCCCGGGAGGTGAGCTTCTCATGCCCGCACACCGGCATGGGAATCCCAAGATCCCGCGACAGCTCGAGCATCTTGCCCAAGATGAGAGGCTCGAGCAGGTCAGGTGTTGTATCTGGATACGCGGCCATAGCCAAATCAAGCACTGCACCCCTGTACGCCACAGGCGACTCCTCGGGCGCTCGTTGTCGTTGAGCGAATCGCCGATGCGCGTCGTCAGGTGGCTCGTAGGCGTCGGCCATTTCTTGAAAAACTCCATATAATGTCCTCTTCTTCTCGGCCTTAATGGAGCGAAAAAAACGAACAGATTCGTCGTCCAGAAGAGTCGGCAACACTTCCAAGGCCTCAGCATCGGTCCATCTCGCAGAACGGACCGCCGCTAAAAATCTGCAGGCGAAAGCGCTCCAGTCGCCCCCAATGGCGAATTCCTTGACCGTGGTGAGATGGCGACTCCGACTTCGCTTCACTCCGCCCTCCGCCGATGGTTCCTCCGGAGGCAAATTCAAAATGGCGTCGAATCGCGGCGTGGTCAAGATGGCGGATTCCCGCCGCGGCACGCGCAAGATGGCGGCCTCCTGCCGCGTGGCCCATGGCGCCGGGAGTGAAGAACCCGTGGCGGCCTGTGGAGCACTCTCCGCTCTCTCCGTCGCCGTGCTTGGGGTGACGAGATGACACAATTGGCCCAGGGCGTCCTTGAGAGTCTCCAGTTGCTCAGCCACCTGCAGCCATCGCCGATCAGCGTCTGATGGTGTCGGCGGCCCTGACACTGTGGCTACATCTTCCACTCCCGTCCCCGCACTCGTTTCAGCAGGGCTCTCCTCCACCACCCTGGCAGGATCCATGTTTGGAGGGAAGTCTTCGTCTTCGGACGAAGAAGCCGATGCCGGCGCTGGAACATTTTTCTTTCTCACTTGTTTCGACATGCCGTTGCACTTCTGACACCAATGTAATAAAGGACTCGACCACGATGTCTGGCTTGGTGTCCTTTATTCGGTTCTTCTCTCTTAACCCGCACGGCTGTCCTTCTATAAGACTCTATACTGACACTGATACTGCTCTCCTGCAGTTTCTCCCCTCGTCGTTCTCTCAGCCTCTCTCTCCTCTCGTCGCTCTCGTAGCCTCTCCCTCACACACAGCCTCGCCGGCTGTGTTCCCCGCAGCTCCTCGTCCGCCTTCTCTCCAGCCGCCCCACCGCTGTCTTCTCTCGCAGCTCCGCTGGCTGCTCCCTTAGCTGGCCACCGCTGGCCGCCGCTGCCACCCCTTGGCTTTGCCCACGTGGCCTTACTCTGGTCCAGTCCCACTCGTTCTGCCTTCCTCTTCCGGTCTCCTCCCTTAAGAACCTTAACCTTTCCTCCCACGTCACCTAACTCCACCTCTCCGTGACGTCACATCCGGGAGGTCGCCCGCGCCCGCATTACACAACTACAAATGGTACAAGAGGGGACACGTACCTCTGGAGGGAGCTAACGGAGACGTGGCGAAGAAGCAGGCCCTGCTCAGCAGGGTCCCGTCGCAGAGGGAGAGAGGGGATGTGCCAACTCAAGGGATTCTAGATTTGAAGCTTTCGTGACTGCAAAGATTCATATTCTTAGGTTTTTTCGGTTAAGTCACGTAAGTAAAACATCAAAATAAAATAAAAATAAAAATCACGACGTTTCGGAGGCAACACAAGTCTCCGTCATCAGGTTGGACCGTCACAGCCGAATTAGCTGCATCAAGTGAAGCAATGATTCAAGATGTAATCCCTTATAAGCAAGTTGAAGGGAGGTGGAGAGGGGGGGGGGGTTGGAAAGCTTATCAGACTGTGGTAGCCAATGAATGGAAACGTATCGGGAGGGAGGAGGAGCGGTGATCAAAGACTGCAACGCAGTGCTCAACACAATGAATGGAAACGTATCGGGAGGGAGGAGGAGCGGCGATCAAAGACTGCACGCAGTGCTCAACACAATGAATGGAAACGTGTCGGGACGGAGGGTGAGCGGCGATCAAAGACTGCACGCAGCGCTCAACACAATGAATGGAGACGTGTCGGGACGAAGGGTGAGCGGTGATCAAAGACATCACGCAGTGCTCAACACAATGAATGGAAACGTGTCGGGACGGAGGGTGAGCGGTGATCAAAGACTGCACGTGGGGATGTTAACACTCGGTGAAGTAAATTAAAATAGTGCCTGTCAGATAAGATGGTCCAAAAAAGTGTAATTAAGTCTTTTTTGCGTGGTTAATAACATCTTTCCAATGATTACTGAGTTTGTACCCATCATCACGGTTGAAATTATGTCTGTGTTTGTATATTTGTATGGCTTCGTGTACAAACCTTTGATGGCTACCATCATAATCATTGGAAAGATGTTATTAACCACGCAAAAAAGACTTAATTACACTTTTTTGGACCATCTTATCTGACAGGCACTATTTTAATTTACTTCACCGAGTGTTAACATCCCCACGTGCAGTCTTTGATCACCGCTCACCCTCCGTCCCGACACGTTTCCATTCATTGTGTTGAGCACTGCGTGATGTCTTTGATCACCGCTCACCCTCCGTCCCGACACGTCTCCATTCATTGTGTTGAGCGCTGCGTGCAGTCTTTGATCGCCGCTCACCCTCCGTCCCGACACGTTTCCATTCATTGTGTTGAGCACTGCGTGCAGTCTTTGATCGCCGCTCCTCCTCCCTCCCGATACGTTTCCATTTATTGTGTTGAGCACTGCGTTGCAGTCTTTGATCACCGCTCCTCCTCCCTCCCGATACGTTTCCATTCATTGGCTACCACAGTCTGATAAGCTTTCCAACCCCCCCCCTCTCCACCTCCCTTCAACTTGCTTATAAGGGATTACATCTTGAATCATTGCTTCACTTGATGCAGCTAATTCGGCTGTGACGGTCCCACCTGATGACGGAGACTTGTGTTGCCTCCAAAACGTCGTGATTTTTATTGTTATTTTATTTTTATTTTGATGTTTTACTTACGTGACTTAACCGAAAAAACCTAAGAATACAACTCAAGGGAGTTAAGGGGGCACAGAAATTAGGGCCCGATGACATGTAATGCTGGCTCTGCTTCCGTCTCGAGAGACCGAGGAGGGGGCGTGGCCGGGGGCGGAGCGAGGCCATGCTCGGGGAGGATGGGAGGAACGGGGGCGGAGTGTTGAGGGTCCGGCGGGGGAAGCTGATGGTGCAGGGACTTGGGGAGTCGGAGAGCGTTGGTTGTCAGGGACTCTGTTACGGGGAGGACCCCGTTTTAGGGGTCTAGTGTAACCCCGAGTGTTGTATTATCCCTAGCCCTGGAAGTTGAAATAAATTGTGGTGCCTGCAGACTTCAGTGTGTGCCTCGTTGGATACACACTACATTACTAGCACACTATATAGATATGCAAGTGTATTAACTAAAACTAAACTTAGATTTCGATTTAAAGCTTTCGTGACTGCAGGGATTCATCTTCTTGGTTCTTTCGGTAAAGTCACGTAGAAGGGAAGTAATAAAATAATACAAATGTTTTATTTTTATTATTTTATTACTTCCCTTCTACGTGACTTTACCGAAAGAACCAAGAAGACTAAGATTAGATTTTACCAGATAAAGCCCACTGAGCTATGAACTATTTTTCAGAGGCAACCTGGTCCCACATGATAGCTCATCGAAGGGGCTTATGTGTGTGAATTTATTGTAGCCAATGACTAATCTAAATGTAAGTTTCTAAATGTAGAGGGAAAAAAGGAGGACCCAGAGACAAATCCATGTAACCACGGGGAGAACATTTAAAAGTCCAAATATATATAAAAGGGAAATTTGTGGATATGTGTGTCTGTTCGAAGTGTTTAGCATACTTGCCAACATGCTACAAACTTGAAATTTTATATTTTGGCGTGCTGCGTAAACCTGGTAGATTTTAGGTGGCGGTTCGCTCCTGGCCGATGAGGCCATTGGCTTCTCGGAGTTTCAATACATACACGTGCGAAGAATGGGTACAACTACTATCTTAAATATAAAGCAAAAAATACATCTGTGTGAAGCAGCAAAAACTCTTGAACGCTGAGCTCTGACGTCATGGAATTTGCACAGCTTACGCTGTTTCGAATTTCTAAGTCAACGCGACTATTTTCAGCTCGTTCTTAAATATAAAGCGGAAAATACATCTGTTTTTGTGAAGCAGCAAAAACTCTCGAACGCTGAGCTTTGTCGTCACGGAATTTGGACAGCTTATGCTGTCTTGAAATTATAAGTGAACGCGACTATTTTCAGCTCGTCACGTCATTCCCTTCCCGAGTTGGCAAAATCGACCTTTACGTATGCGTGGGTTAAGGTTGAATTTCCTTGAGTTAAAAACATCCGACTTAGTTTAATTTATTTGTTTCAGCTTTTTTCTTTATTGCAAGCATCAATTATTTTCAGGGGTTTTCAGTGAAATATAAGGGAATATGAAATTAATCCAAGTCCCCGGCGAAGCCGGGTAGTAAAGCTAGTATATTAACATTTTCCTGCGGAGGGAGCTGGTAGGAACGTTGAGTTTTATAAGGGCACCACGGGGTGACCAGTCTCTCCCCACCCAGCCCCACCCCTCCCAGCCCCACCTTCCCCACCTAGCTCCTCCCCACCCAGCCCCTCCCCACCCTCCCCACCCAGCCCCTCCCTGCACGACGGACGGACACAATAATCCCCTGTGGGCTGGTGTAACCAGGAGGTTCCTACCAGTATAAAGCCTAAGTGTTGAACTCCAAGTATACAAACGTCAGGGTTGGGATCGAACCCAAGACCTCCTGTATACCAGGCGAGAGGGATAACATCCCGGCACCATGGCACCAGAATTATGCTTAAATTTGGTTTAAATTCAGTGTGTCTGATAGGATCAAACTATAATACTATGAATAATAGCCGTCCGCAATATGGATATCCCATAATGTTACTTTTGTGAACCGTGATGCTGGTAAGGATATCTATAGATATCGCTAATAGTTATATTGTGGTATCGGATACAGCCACCGAGAATGCCAGGTGTAATAAAACGTATTTAAATTGCTCCGCCCTGGCACTTGCACATGCATGCATTGGTGGATGAATTTGTAATCGTTTTTTCCATCATCCACAGAGAAAGACTCCTGCCAGTTCATGGACAGCGCTGGTAACTGTTTCAGGCCAAATCTGCGACTTTACCAGGACAGTGGAAGCTACAGTAAGGGGTGGCAAGAGCTCAACAGCAATGCGTCCTACATTCATCAGCCGGAGGATAGCTTCTGGATCGTCCAACAAGTGCAGTGGAAGAATGCACCTAATAAAATAGGTAAAATCCACTTACGTGCAAATTCTATGTCTTAATATTTTCTGCATCAGTAGTGCTTTAATTCTTGCTTATTTGGGATTCTCATTAATGAGGTGACCATATTTCTGGGCGGCTCAACTGGGGCACGTGGTGGGCGGGTAGCCCCTCTGTCAGCCCTGCCTACTTTTAACTAGCCCCACTCACAGTGAGTGGCCTCTTGGCACTGCCATTGGCCCCACCCACTACTCAAGATAGCCCCTCCCACTACCTAGGTAGCCCCGCCCCTTGCCCGCATCATGAGTCGAGCACGAGGCCAATATTTTAAAGCCAAAATAAAATCCCAGATTCGGGGAGTGGGGGGGGAGGTGAGGCAGATTTTCTGAAACCGAGCCTGTTCTGATCCAACCGGGACATTTAGTGGCTTTGCCCATCAGTCGCATTTGAATCCCTGCTTCTGGGGGATCTTCCAACCCTGCCCACACTTTTTTCATTACTCACCAGGGGAGCTGCACACGTTTTTTGGAGGAGGCTACGTGGCTGATCTGGGAGTGATGGTCAATGAGGCGAGTGGCAACGCGAACTACCTCGAGCAGAACTCATGGCTGGATGCCTGTACCATGGGGATCTTTGTGCAGTTCACAGTCTACAACGCAAACGTCAACTTGTTCTGCTTCATGGAGGTTCTTCTCGAGTCTCTGTCAATGGGTGAGGGTGATTGTCGCATCACGCACGTCAGAACCTACTTCTACTGGTGCATAGGTCTTCGCAGGTGTGCTGTGCGGCTCTCTGATGGGTTTATGTTTAAAATTGAGTGAATTTTGTTTTCTGAAGCGCCGAGCACGTGGAGCTAAATGCGGCACAACAGCGAGCTTCTTGTGTTTGCTATAATTTTTTGTTTCATTTGTGCAAATTGAATCTGGAGAATTTGTAACGGTATGCAGTTTTTTTTAGGTTTGTGCAATATATTGAATTTTTTTCTGTAACGTGGTTGCTTTTATCAATATTTAAATTTGCATCACTGCTGCATTTTTCATTGTTTTGCCTCTTGCACATAAAACTATCATGGCCCCTTGAATATTTCCTGATTATACAAAGTAAACTTGAAGGCTGCTTGTGTACAAACATTTTAAGCTGTGCTCCAATACTCTTGTGTATCTTGCACCACAGATATGTTTCAAGCGTCGTCAAACGTGAAGGTTTTTCAGCTGTTTGAAAACAAAACATCGCTCGTCATTTTGAAGATCGTGGCGTACACTCTTTACTTGATCACGACCCTGTACTGCGTCGTACGGGTCATCTCCGGCATGGCCAAGGAGAAGGTCGCGTACCTCAAGGACACCGCAAACTTGGCTGAAACGGCAAACATCGTCCTGAGGATTGGGGCGGTTGTCCTCTTTTATCACCAAAATGGCGTCGCATCGGTAACTCTGGCAGCCCTGACAAACAATCCAGGTTGGTAATAGCTATTACTATTATTGTTGTATTATTTATTATTGCACTGGTTGACCCCGGAAAGTTTTCCCGAGTCTCAAGACTCTTTTCCAGGAGGGTCCTGTACATTTTGGAATCGCACTATGCTTACAGCGCAAGGCTATCAGTAGGAAAGCACCGTGTTTCATGGAAATAGTCTGCAGTAGTTTTGCAGTAGACGGAAATGTTGCTATGTGTAATCTCCAATTGAGTAATTGGCAGGTATTTTTTTTGTAAAACAGAGGGAGAACATACACTGGGTAAAGTTTTACACGGCCACCAGATCACAGTAGCACCACAGCCTAGCCTTACTTGTTCCACCCCGTTTCCTCTTGGCAGCTGCCTTCGTGGACCTGTCAGGGCCCGCATCGCTCGACGAGCTGTCCACGCAGTTCCTCGGGTTCCTCACCTTCGTGGCGCTGCTGCAGATCATCCCGCTGCTGCGCTTCAACAGCACCATGAACACGGCGGTGAACTCGGTGGCATGCTGCACATGCAAGCTCCGTGGCGTTGCCTTCGTCTTCCTCGTCTCGCTCATCGGCTACGGCCTCGTCTTCTGGAAAGTTCTCGACGGGACCGCTGGTGCACACAGGTCGTTCGGCAGGAGCATTGGGTTGCTGCTCGCCACGATGTTCAGAGCTCCAGTCTTTGGCAAGTTGTACACGGGTGGTGGTGCTACGGCCGTCATCCTCCACCTCACCTTCATGGTGATGTTTGTGGTCCTCCTCCTCAACGCGCTCATGGTCGTCGTTGGGGAGGCGTTCCATCACCGCACAAAGGAAAATTCGGCCCTGGGAAATCGAGTCTCAGTGGTCTTCTGGAAGGGTCTGAATCCCATCATCACGTTTAGCAAGCGCATGTTGTCCAAGCTAAATGCGTTTGGGTGGAAACACAAGAAGCAAATTTAACCAGAATTTCTTTTATCAACTGCATTTTTAATATAAATTGTTTTAATGTCTCGAATAAAACCTTCTTAAGGACCCTCGTGAAAAAGTCTTGAGACCCAGTGAAGCTTTCCTGAGCAATTATATTGTTGTTGATTATGAACTGATCTTACTGAAACAAATATATTTTCCTGGTTAAATAAATAAATCCGGAGGCCAACAATTGCAGATTATTTATAACAAACACAATTTAACTGGTATTGGTTAAACATCCCAATGCTGAAAAGTAACTGCATAATACTCAATTGGGATCACACTTAGCAAGATCACCCCCAGCTGTGAAAAACCTGCCGAGGGAATGGGTTCGATCGTGTGGATTTGAGGACTCCACACATGGTTCTAAAATATACATATAAAACTTGGCAAGATCTTCCTGAAAGGTCCGCACAGGCACATTGATCTACCCACTTGCTGTATTGCCATTTGCTCCCCACCTCAAAGCCAAGTGGGTTTGGTAGTTTCTCATATATTGCATGATCCACTCCACCCTTTAATAACCCACCGAGCCTTGTCTCCAGAAGGACTGGGTAACAGTGGGCACCACATCATCAATACAGCTGCTGCTGCTGCTGATGCACTTGGGTTCCATTCCTGGCCGTTTTGAATGTTACCAGCGGTGAAGTCTATGTGAACCTACTTCATAATTGCACCGTATCGATGTTCTGTAAGGCATTAAACTAGAACTGTATATCTCAAGGTATGTTTGTTGACCTGGTTTAATACGTGTGTGTGGTGTATAATTTGGATTGTTATTTTTTTTATCCAAAGAAACGTTTTGTTCCGATGGTGTTGTCTATCAGTTATGGGTTCGGTACATTTACTAGTTGACGTGTTCTTGTTTGAATTCGTGTTCAGATACGGCATGAATAAGCGTGCCACTTTTAATAAATGCATGTGTCATTGTGATTCATCTCTTGTGATTACTCTTGTCAACAGGTGAAATAATAGTGGTACTCGGGGTGTGATTTGTCACATCTGTTGGGGAGGGAGCGGTGGGCCGATAAAATAGAAAAGCTTTCACCAGCCCACACTGACCAAGGTGGTGAAGTATGGTCAGTCCCCATGATCGATATGCCATGAGCAGCCCTTCGTCCAGTAATGGATTTACAAATAACTAACTATAATAATAAAACACGTAACGGTGATATAGGTTCAAAGTGTTTGATGCACTATGACATAATTCTATTTATTTAATCTTGCGAAGCTTCACTCATTCTCAAGACTTTAAGAAGCCACCTGCTCCATTGGTATGATGGCCAATTCCCATAGTGAGCGGTTGGTTTTTTGCAGGAGAAAAACGGACCATACCCAGCACAGAATACAAGGGCATGACACTGAACATTCTGCACATATATATTAAATAATCCATCGCTGTACTGCAATATTCTGGCCACCCTGCAACGAGCTCCAACATATACAACACCTGCTATTCCCAAGTACGCCTATACAGGCCACCATAATTCAATAGGGATTACCATTGGTACGGCTATTTTAATATACATATAGTGGGTCAATAACTAGAGGAGTCTCTTTCCGAGGCAACACGTAATTTATCTAAGAGTAAACACTTAACACAGAGGGGTAACGGCCCTCCACACCCAATTACTATGGAGGTTGGCCCTGCAGACTGAATACGCCTTACACTGGCTATTCTAATCCTTCTTGAGTAAAGCTTGGTCTTCACTGGTATATAAACTGGATCCGACTCTTGCCAGGGGTATGGCTCTGCCCATTGGGCTCTTCTCTTCAAGGGGCTCTTGAGCTTTGTGTGGATAACAACTCTCGATCGTTCAGGGGTCCAGCTTTTATACAAGTCCGTGGCTCGCTCCGCCCCGGCCACGCCTTCCTTCCAGGACCTTCCACCAGGTCCTGGGAAGATGACGTCATCCCCCATCCCCCTCCTGGGGTCTGCGTCCCTGGATCCGTTATCCCATATGGGTTACCGTTGGCCCCTTGGGCCACTCCCTTGACATTGGGCTCAGTCACACTTCTGCCCCCTATTGACACGTGTGGGATTCTACCAGCTGACAGCATGGGGAGTGCATAATAATACCTCCACATCACCCCCCCCCCCCCGCCCCTTGTAGCACACAGCCGTCTCGGCTGTTAACAACCCGCTCAATAAAGTTACAATATGAACAAAACGGAACGCATGTACCTCGTAAATAACAATAACACATCAACCCAACATAAATACCCAAACCCCCTGTACAAATATACACTATCTACAAAGGAATCACGCATGGCCACACACACAACTTACGACAATGCACTCGCCAACCACAGCAAAAAAAACGTGACCGACCGATGGCAAGGAAACGGCAATGGTCACTGATCGAGACGAACCGGCGGTACAAGGGTAGGTGGAATGTGCGGTGCGCGCGCGTGTGTGTGGAGAGCGTAAAACGAACTATGAAAGCGTGGAGTTTCCGCGAGTGTGCGCGTAGCCGGGCCGTTGTAGGGAACAGGGGGCTTAATCGGTGGTGCAGATGCGACGGGCCCTTCAGCAGGTACGTCCGGCAGGCCGTGCAGGCGCTCGTTGGCATGAGCGTCCGGCATGGACTGGCACGGGCCCGTCACTCCCGCATCATCTGGAGGAGTGACAACACGACTGTACTGAGGGTTAGGCACCACGGACGCATCACCCGGCTCATCCAACACGTCACAAGTTCGGCCCCCGCGGTGTGTAGGTGACATTGTAGTGTGAGGCGCGACAAAAGGCTTCAGGCGTGAGGGGTGGATGAACCAACATCGTCTGTCCCATCTGACCTTGACGCACTGGGGGCAAACAACCTGAACGATGTCGACAGGGCCTCTCCAGGGCTTGAGCAATTTAAGTGAAGTAGACAAAGGCACCTGGTGGCAACGGAGCCAGGCTTTGTTCCCCGTGGCCCACATGTGTGTGGATGACCTGGGGTTACACAGTCGCGCATTGGCTCTCTGGCGAGAGCTCAAATTGTCCATGGCGGCCTCACATGCCTCAGCCAGTTTTCGTATGTTAAAGCGCAAATGGTCCGCTATCTTGGATTTCGGTGCGGGCAAATCACATGCAGTCGAACATCCACAGGGGGGTCCGCATCCCTACCATACATCAGAAAGAAAAGCGAAAATCCGGTCGCGGTGTGAGTTTCCATACTATATGCGGCTAGGACTTCGGGGATCTGTAGATCCAAGTCGAGCTGGGAATAACTAACCTGGTGGCCCAACATGGAAGTGAGCATCCTGTGGAGACGCTCCAACATACCATCAGACTGTGGGTGGTATGATGAGGTGCGGACTTTTTTCGTACCAAAAGTTTACACACATCGCGTAACAGAGTGCTCGAGAAATTATTCCCTTAGTCGTTCAACAGCCGTTCAGGAGCACCTTTGTCCATGACGTAGCTCTGGACAAAAGCCTCAGTGATGGCTGCTGCCGACTGGTTGGCGAGTGGCCAGGTCATGGGCCAGCGTGTGAAATACTCCACCCCAACCAGTAGGTTCTTGTGACCCTTAGGTGTGGTAGGGAAGGGCCCCAAAATATCTAGAGCGACCAGCTTGTTGATGCGAGACACCTTGATATATTGCAATGGTGGGCAAGATGGCTTGGCCGGTGGCTTCTGCTGAGCACACTGGGTGCAGCCCTTCAGGAGGTCGGTCAAGTCTCGCAGCATGCCTGGCCAAAAGAAATAGAGTTGAAGAAACCCAATGGTTTTGTGCGCCCCCAAATGCAACAGGCTCTCATGCGCCGCCCAAACGGCTCTACCTCGCAGGGCAGAGGGCATCACAATTTTGTGTCGACATGAGTCACCATCCCATTTCATGAGGAGACCGTCGCGCAGGATGAGAGACGTGAAGCGACCCCTAAAATATGCCAAATTCCCGCTGCGAGGCGTAAGGCAAGTAGGGACGCATCCTCCATTTGGTGGCGACCCCATTCGGCAATGGTCAGGCCCAGCAAGTCGTCCCGACCTGCTGGGTCAACGGGATCCTCCGAGAGACTCTGCTCAGAGGGGAATACATCGGCCACTGCTGCGAGGGGCGGGACCGGGCCAACCCCCAGCGGTTTGCAACGGCCCGAACCAAGAAAGCAAGTGCACCTGTTGCCAAATGGGAGACGCGACAGAGCATCGGCGTTGGTATATCGGGTGCCCTTGCAGCAGGTAACGGTGAAATCGTAGTCCTGGAAGACTTCAAGCCACCTAGAAAGTTGAGCCGATGGTTGGTCAACACGCAAGGCGTATAGCAACGCAGAGTGGTCCGATCTAAAGGTGAAGTGCCTGCTATACAAGTATGGCCGATACTATTGTATAAAGAACACGATGGCCAATAACTCATGGCGAGTCACGCAGTAGCATTGTTTTTCTGGGGACAACACTCTGCTGCCATATGTGATCACCCGTTCGACACCGCCGATAACCTGGGAGAGCACCCCGCCAAGTCCGGTATCGCTGGCATTCGTATCAAGTACGAATGGCTCCGAAAAGTTGGGGTCACTCAAGGGCGGTGCTCTCAACAGGACATCATGCAGTGAATTGAATGCAGTCTGTTCCACTTCTCCCCAGTGGAACTTCACACCTTTTGTCATCAGGTTATGGAGAGGCTTTGCAATCGACGCAAAGTCAGCCACACAGCAATGATAGTAGGAGGCAAAACCAATGAAGTTGTGAACTTCCCCCACCCAGGTAGGGGTTGGCCACGAGCTAAAGCAATTGGGTTTTTCAGGATCGGTGGAAGTACCTAAACGGCTGACAATATGCCCCAGATACCGCACAGACTCGTGCAAAAGGTGGCACTTTTGCGGCTTGAATTTCAAGTTCGCAGTGCGCATCTTAAAGAAGACAGTCCGCAACCTTTCGAGGTGCTTGTCGAATGTGCGGCTGAAGACGATAATATCGTCTAGGTAAATCAAACAAGAGTCCCACTGGAGCCCAGTGAGGACAAGCTCCATGAGCTGCTGGAACGTTGCCGTGGCCGAGTGAAGACCCATGGGCAACCTAGGAGCAGCGACACCGGTATAAATATGATGACATAATAAGTTAGTGCAGCCAATATCAAATTTACTTTTACTGAAAATATCGGTAAATTTCCGCAAGAGCGTGCGCAACCTTGCCCTCTGCGACCTGGGCAGGTCTCCAACCCCCGCGCATAGCGAATCCAACCACCCATCATCCAGGTCCGAGTGTGGCTGCGACCAAGAACCGGTCCCCTGGGGAACGCGGTCAGACGCAATCCCGCATTTAGGACCTGGATGAATGGTTCCCTGTCACCCGCTACAAGTCTCAGTGGCTACAAGTTCCAGGCCCCTAATTGCGGTATTTGATGGTCCCAACAAAACGCCGTTCGCCAATGCTCCCGGGTCAAGCGGTTTCCGTAAGCGAAAGGGCATGGTGAGGGATGAAAAAACCAAAATAGGCCCGGCCAATTTGATATCACCAATCGAAATTTGTGCGTGAATTTGTCCGATTATTCCGAGCGAGCCCCCAGTTAGCAGCGAAACACGGGACAGAAACCGGTTGCGGGGGCTGACACCAAACGGGCAGAATGTTGTATATCAAGTCGGAAATAATGGTAGCCGACACACCCGTATCGATAAGTACGCAGAATTCGACTCACTTGATCGATCCCATAACAACAGAGGACCCCGCGGCCGCGGCGACAATCCTATGGGCCAGCTCTGACTACTGACCAGGTAGGAGCTCCCTGTTAGAAATACAGCAATCCTGTTCCCTGGCACCCGTTACCCAGTGAACACGTGGCACGGTGCAGTGAGGTGTGCGAGGTGAGTGCGGGGGCCGAGCATGTGAGGTG